ACTAATTGAGCCTTTAGACAGATTTTTTGAGGTTGCTTTGTAGAGCCAAACTAGGGAAAAAGGTAAGTGTAGAGAAAGTAGTCCAACCCCCTTGGGTCTGGGATAGATGTGTGCGTGCTACTTCAAACCATAGGATGTTATTTTTGGCCAACAGTCTGTGCTGTCCAGTAGCTTCAACCTATCAAGTCCATGGGCAGAAACAGGAAAACTGTCTTCAAGTCAATGTCCGCAGAGATGGATGCTCTTCCTTTTATTTATACAATTTATGAACCATCATGTTTTCCAGGCAAATCCAGTCAGTCCTGGCCTAACATGATGCAAATTTATTTATAGAGTCTTTCGCAAACTCATTTCCTTTACAATTTAATATTCTTCTCATTTCAAAATACCCTAGAGGAATGGGATATAAAATCTACTCTGTCTAGAAAATTGCACTGAATGCTTGAAGAGCTCTGTAGCTGGCCAGGGATATCATATATGTCCTCCACTTTGAAGAACATAGCAAGACATCAGGAATAGCAGTAAAATTTAAAAGAAGATCAATCAACAAATCTGTTCCAACATGAAACTTGCTCAAGAAAGTCTCTTCTCCTAGACAAGCCTTGGGTGCTACATGATTTGTCCCCGTGAAATGCAGATCAAGCCAGAGAGAGTGTTGACATGCGTTAGGAGGGAATATTAACAAAACAGATCAGTTTTGCTTGGTCTCAAAAGGCCCTGGAATCTTCTTCCTTTGGCTCCCTGATTCTGAAACTCAGACACTCAGCCTTCCTTCTGAAGAAAACTCTCTGTCCTGCTCCATCCCCAAAGATGGGCAGAGAACTGAGACCATCAGAAAAAATTGCAGAAACCAGGGCAAAGCAAGCCAACACCTCACAATTTATGTTACTGCAATAAACCTTTTCCTGACAAGGCACAAACTGTTCTTCAACTCAGGTGAAAAAGCCATTGGCCAACTCAGTTGAGTTAAGGGATATAGTGATAATTCCCTCCTCAGTAATCCTGTCTGAAGCTTGTAATGAATTCTAGGCAGAAACTGCGCATAAAAATCAGCCAGTGAAAAGGCAAGAAAATTGAACTTATAACTAGAGTTTCTTAACATTTTGAAATATCATATTCTAAAATTTGAAACCTTTTAAGCCAGTTGTTAAGCTGGTCAAAATAACAAACAGCAATAAAAAAATGGAGGTCTCCACACTTAATTATTTTCAGAGTTTTAAAAATGAAAAATTCCTTCCAGCACTGTAGATGTTCTACATCTTTCAGCCAATTGTCTATAAACAAACAACTTAAAGCAATCCCTGGCTGAAGAGTTTATTTTGGGGGAATTTGGTCAGCTGATTTGGCTTTAATTTGTTTCCAGATGAGAAGAACAAAGTCGAAGGATGGAATAAGAAATGAGAACAGACCTGATCTCATCTAACCAAAACCATCTACAGGAGTTGTAAAAACCCTCATCTGCACACATTCAGGCAAAGCAGAGCCAGCAAAGCTGCCAGAGGCAATCCTCAAGAAACACAAAGCTGAGGAACATCAACAACGCTATGTCTATCCAGAAAAGAGGTAGATAAAAGAGGAAAGGCTCTTGGGGATAAGTTGACTGTGTTGTTGCAGATGGGAATAGAAAGGGTGCTTGGTTGGGTACGGGACTTCTTGTCAGAAGCCCTTGAGATGTATCTGCCAGAGAGTGAAATTCTCCTCCCGACCTCGACATCTCAGTGGAGCAGGAGAGGAGACTCCTTCTCAGGTGAGAAGTAGAGAGAATGGTAGGATGGTCTATAGGACTTCTGAGTGTCTCCAGGTGTTTTGGAACTTGGGGGTGGAGGAAAGAGACACAAAGCTGACAGACACCACGGAGGAGGGACAACTTGAAAAATATAGACAACTAACACCTTTAGCCCTTTACCTCCTCCTTGAAGTGAGCTTGAGATTGCCTCTGACCATGGGCTTTTTGTACCCTGATCCCAAAGCCACCTCCTCTCTCTGCTCCTCTGTTCCATCTTGGACCTGAATCAGGACAACTGGCAGTAAAGAGAGCTGTCCCACCTGCAAGGTTTGCAATGGTCACCAGGTGAATCACAGAAGAATTCATCCTCACCTTGTCATTTTCCTGTTTTCTGAAGCCCTCAGCTACCAGTGTCTACACTGGTAAATCAAACAGGACTTAGTCTGGGAGTCCCCCTGGATCCTATCTGATCTGTCCCTGGATCCTGTCTGATCTGTCCTGTCCCCAGGCTGTCCTGTTTTTGTTATTGGCATGTTCCTAATTTTTACATGCAATTTAGTTCATGCATCTGAACACTAACAGAAATAATCTATTATGTATGGTTTGTAATTGAAATATACAAGAAAAGATTTCTTCCCCTGTACATCCCTTGCGCATGTAAAGTTCAGCTATATTTAACCATGAGAACAATTTCGAGGTATCTAGTCTACGCAATCCAGTGATTAATGCAATTCAATTTATGAGGACTGTTTTATTTATTTATAAATAATTTGATGACTCTTGAGCCTCACTAAGTGATTTTTCAACCATGTTATTAATCTTGAGCTCTCTGTAACAAACAGAAGTAAATATTGAGTCACTGGTGGGTTTTTTTCTTTCTTTTTTTCTATCTTTTATTTATTTATTTTTTTTGCTTCAGACCATTAGGGAAATGATACTGAGAAACTCTTTGAATGAGAAAGTCAGGAGGATCATTGCATCTCCTTGCAGGATCTAAGCATGAGGTACTTCTGAATTTCTGAAACCGTGGAGCCGGCGTATTTAATGTTCTTCTCTCTCACTGTCTGATCAGCTGCATAAGATGGCAAATAACGCAGCTGTACATGCTCTGATTATCAACTGGTAATAATTCCTTTGATTCCCTCCAGGGGCCATGCCAGCATGTGAGAAGAAAAGGCAAGCAGAAGGCTGACCCAGATTTCTGCAGAGTTGGCTTGCTCTCCACGCCAAACTTTCCCTTGAGCTGACTTCTCTTGTGAGATTGCTTAACTTCCCTATAGCACTGTTGTTATTATTGTCATTATTATTCATAATAACAGCAACAACAACAGTGAGAGCATGGAAAAATATTGTTCTTTGAAAATTGGATGTCTCAATAGCTGCCATGTGGTGGTAAATGATTAAGATGGGTCATGACTAATTCTAACAATGTGTAACAAGGAAACAAACATCACAATTTATGGTTTGTAAAGACTCTTTTGGGTGCAATAAAGTAAAGACTGCCATAGGTGGAGAGGTGCTGGACAGGGGTCTGCCTTTCAGCCACCACTTCCCCTCCCAGGTCTCAATCCAGAACTCGGAGATGGATCCAATGCTCTTCCTCACCTCCTACAGAATCTGGGGGAAATTAGACCTTAATTTGTCCTCAGAAGATGGCAAAGGCGGTTCCTGTGACTGAGTGCATTTCAAGAGTGCAGGCTGTGTACCTACCATCCATCTTTAAAAGATCAGGACAGACTCCAGCTTTTCCCATATACCCCAACCACCTCCTAAAGGATTTCTACAAATTCTCACAAAACCTCTTTCCTATTGCATTTAAAAACAGGCAGGTGGAGTCAAGAATGCTTCAGATGTTAGAAAAAAAAGGAAAAGAGCACCATGAACAGCTGGCTTTTAAGCTGAACCAAGGGAATAGTAGTGTTGTGATGGGGGCTCACAAGAGGATTCAGGCTGGCTCACTCAGAGTTCTTCCTCTGTCCATGTAGGACGTTTGGTTGCAGTTCCTAATTGCCTACCCCGGGGCAATCCTGAATCCTGCTTGGGGGCTCACAGAGACACGTCACTAAATGCTCAGCTTGTATGAAATGCCTTCAACGCAGTGTGCTGGGCCAAAGGACCAAACCTCCTTGATGCTACTCAACACAATGTGTATCAGAAAATGACCTTCTGGCACTTCTTCCAAAAAAGTTTTGGCATTTCTACCAAAACTGCCAGATAGGGAAACAAAATATTTCTGGTCTTTCCTTCCCATAGGAAACAGGCATTTCCTTGTGCTCATCCCTTCTGAGACAACCACAGCAGTGGCTCCTCATATGAACATCTTTGGTTGAAGATACATGTTTGCATGAGCTGAGAATCTGGCCCTGTGTACACGTGTGCATGTGTGGCTAATTTGAGGATCAAACCACAGAGAAAGATAAAGCTAAAAAGATATTCAGAAGGTGACCATCCATGAGCAATCCCTGTGCTTTTGTTCAACAACTTGGCCTTCAGTTCTCATGAAACTGCCTATGAATGTGGCAGATCATGCTTTTGGGTAGAATGGGCACACTTCCAAATAAATCTTTCTCTTTGTGAGGGTTTGGACCAGTGAGAAACAGGAAATTTGAGAGGAGAGTGAAAAGCAATTCAAAGATTTTTTAAAAATGACTGAAGGTTTTTTTTTTTTTTTTCATGAGCCCTACAAGAAAGGAGGTCTGAGTTAGTGATCCTGATTTCAGCCACACACACACCCATGCACACACATGCTGAAGGCCGGCTGACTTCCCTCCTTGCCTCAACTGGCTTTGCAGCAAACAGGGTGGGCCCCTCTCCCAACCTGGAAGAATGAAAATGTCACACACTGTGATAACCGCATTTTCCATCCTAAAATTGCACTAGTTTTTGGCTTGCTCCTAGGGCTCTGGTCAGGGCAAGGTGAAGTCAGCTCTCTGCCTGCACACAGCAGCCGCACGCTGTTAATCCTGCCCATCCCAGAGGAGCCTCGTTGTGATAACAAGTGACATCGCCCATGGGAAGAACATGCTGCAAGTCGTCAGTCCTACTGAGTTGCCCATGACGTGTGTGAGGCTGCATGAACAGGCAGCTACAGCCCCTGAGGGTTGAGTGTGCTACCGGACAGACTTTAAAAGGAAAGAGCAAATTGAACCAAAGTGGTGACCATGATGCCCGGGGTGGCTTGTACCCTCTGGAGAAGATGGCATGGACCATCCCCATCAGACTTTTTGCTCTACTGGGTGAGACTCTCCTCCTCCTCGGTCTGCAAAGGGTGAAAGGACCACGTGCTGCTGTGCAGCCCTCCCTTGCAAACTCTCAGTATCTCTGCTGTTCGGCAGGGAGCAAGCAAGGCCCGCCAGGATAGCCCTGCCTCCGTCAACACCAGGGAGACTTGGATCACTGAGTCTATGGATGTGATCAACAGCTGGCCACATTGGTGGCTCACTTTTTTTTTTTCTCCATATAACTTAACCTCCTGTTCAACAGAACAGAGAAACTGTATGGAAACCCTTGGCATCCGATGCGTGGCCTGATATTCTTTAGCCCACTAAATGCACTCCAGGAACCTTTTTCATCCTTTTTGCTTCTTCTACTCTCCTTCCTCCTCTCTTTACATCACTGTCTCTCTTTCTTCTTCAACAAGTACTGTGGGTCTGTCTCCATCGTAAAGCCCAGAGCCGTTCAGGTACTCCTCATCTTTGTTGTACTGCTCTGGTCCAGAAGAAGGCATGGAGTTTTCAGAAATTGAGCCATTTTTTACATAACCTGGCAAATTCCGGTGTCCATTGAGGGTCCCTGGTATAAGTCTCGTATTGAGGTGGAGGGCAAGTGCCCCTCTCGTGGCTACATTTGTGATGCTGGTGTGGGAAACCATTGGTCCATAACTGTAGGTTGTACTCCCACTTCGTGCTTTCCTTTTAAAGTCAAGTGCTAATGTCCATCTGCTCCATGACTTCTTTATTTCTGCTTGGACCTGGAAGAAGGGAGAGGCAAGAAAAAAGGTGAGTGGGAGGAAAGAAATATAGAGTCATCAGAAGGAAAGACTATCCATAGGCAAAATGGGTGAGGAACTTTCTGAGAATTAAATTGTAAGGAATAGAAAAATCATGTTAGATCCTGGTAAATCCCCTGCTGAAAACTTCACCGGAGACGTTTAGGGAAGAGCAGATTAACAGGAGATTGACATGGATTTCATTTTGGGATTATATTTAAGGGCCTAAGCAATTTGCCTGTAATTACATTTACACTTAAAATGGGCAAGTTAGATCAAACCAGGTTTATTCTGTGCAATA